GCTCCCCCTCCCCCCTTGCCCCCTCATACGCCTCTGCTGCTGCTGCAGATGTCTCTGTTGCTGAGGACGTCGGGGCTGCTTCTGCTAGTGCGAAGCGCCGCAGCAGCAAGGGCAAGGGTGGCAGGGGTGGTGGAGGTGGCAGCGGTGGTGGTGGAGGTGGCAGCGGGAGTGGTGGTGGGGGCAGTAGTGCACCCTACAATCTAATGCTCGACAATTTTTCTTGCGCTGGTTGCGATTAAGCCGCCTTATCTCTTCCCTCCGTTCTTGCTTTCGTTCATCTTTGAGTGCAGATTCTCGTTGCACGCTTTCCCGTGACCACGCTTCCTTCTTCGCGTCGCTCTGCTGCGTGGCGCTGCTGCAATGGACGAGGTGAGACCATATGAGAAATAAGGCGAGTCCCATTGCTGGGATAATTGACTTGAGGCCGTATTGCGGAACGCTGTCACTGCCGCCGTGCTCGCAACATGCAGTGCCACGTCAGCGCATGGATGTTCTTCCACGCGGCATGCATTTATCGGTGCCAGCGTGGATTTGAACCGTGCGCATACTGACACACTCGCGCATGCCTCGTGCTTTCGCGCGCGGTGTGGCTGCTCCCCTCCTTGCGCTCCCCGCATCTGCCGCGCGCCTCTTTGGGGGCGCGGGCGGAATCTCGTGCGCTGAGGCTGTTTGTGGGGGAGGCACACTGCAGAGCAATGCAGTGCAATCCCTTTATCCCGCAAAGCATTGCCATGTTCTTTCACGCGCACTATTTGCACCTCGCAGTTCTGATGTTTTGTCGCATTCAACGTGTAGTCGCATGTTTCTGCTGCGAATGACTAATTTCGGTGACGCCTTTCTCAATCTCCCTTCCCTTCCCCTTCGCCTCCCCGCTTCTCTCCCCGCTTCTCTCCCCGCGCCCTCCAGCTTCTCACCCGGCCATTAAATGCCGGCCGACACTAGCCGGCGGAAAACACAACCACCGACACAAAACCGGCCGGCACTAGCCGGCGGACACACGGCCAGCAGTCAGTGTGTACCTGCGCCGCGCCTCGCAGCTCCCAGGTGCGACCTCGTTGATATTCCTGCACAACTCCTCCCTCTCCCCGAACTCACCCCCACCCTTCCCCAACCCACCCCAATGCCCCACCCCTGCCTCTCGTCAGTCTCGCCCGGTTCAAAGCTTTGCTTAGCTCTCGTTCGGCGTCTGAGAATGCTTGGCTTGCCCGCGTCGACTTTTCAGCAGTGGTTCCTACCAGTGCTCCCCTCCCCATAACCCTCTCCCAACCCTTTCCCCGGAACCCCCTTCTCGCAACCCTCTCCCTACAACTAAACGTTCGATACTTCTCAGAATGCTTAGCTTGTCCGCGTCGACTTTTCAGGAGTGGGGCCTTTTAATGCTCCTCTCCCCGTAAATCGGCGCCACATCGTCCCTCCGCGTCCCCTCCCTTTTCCGCCTTCCCCCCAATGGGATCCGCGGTCATGGGGCTAGCGGACATTCCCCCTTCCGCCCTATGCGCCCTCTGCGCCCTTTCCGCCCTCTGCGCACTTAGCGCCTCCCCGCATATCGATGAGTTCCGCTGCTTCTGCTGGGCGCTGCTGCGGGCAGCAGCATAGATAATTTCCGCGCCTCCGCACGGTTCGCCACTTCGCCATTGGCTGATCCGGTCGCTCTTTTCGCTTCTCCCTCCCCGCCCCATTACAACGCGCAACCCGCAGGAGCATGGAAGGCTCGAATCAGCGATCACCTGAACTACAAGAGCCACGTGGGAGTCTCTTCCGTGTAGGAGCCACGTGGATCCGCGCGGGAGGCACGTGGGAGCCGACTGGTGGCGCGCGCGCGGTCCGCACTCTGCTGGCTGCAGCTCACCCTTCGATCCAGGCCGTCGATCTTGGCGTCCGTCGCCGATTCCATCCATGGCGCGCCTCGCGCCGGCGCTCCCTTTGAGGCGCCTCGATAGTCGCACGTGGTTGGTTCGATCTATGGCGCCTCGTCCTAGGGCTCCGTCGAGCCCGCTCGGTAGCGACGCAGGTGCGTGCTAATGTCCTTGTATCGATGACCGTTTCGCGCTCCATTTCGGCAACCCGCCGCGTCCCCATTTCCCGCTCCCCTCTCCCTACTCCCTTCTCCCCACTCCCCACTCCCCTCGGCGCACCACTCGTAGATTGTCGTTTAGCCCAAATCGCGCCGCTGTGAATCGATGGCTTGTCAGTGGTAGCGGGTTTGATGGAGTGGGGTGATGATGATGCTGGGGTGGTTGTGGCAGTGGTGGTGCTGGTGGTGTGGTGGTGCTGGTGGTGATGGGTTGGCGAGGGGGTGATGGTGGTGGTGTCCGGGGCATTACTCTTTCCGAGGCGTGGCAGCAGCGTTGTCTCCCTGCCAGGCCTTATGTTCAGGATGCCCACAGCGCTTGATCCGATCCGATCTTATCTGATAAGATTTGATTTGATTGATTCCTCAAAGCAGCCCAGAGATGCGGGTTGGTTGTGTCACTCGCATCATCGTTGCCTTGGAAGCATTTTTGACTTGCCTTCTCGGAATTGGCTTATTATCTGTGTGCGAGCGAGAGAGCGCCACCATTCCTCATTCGTCTCTGATGGCATGTTCCCCTCTTTGCATGCAGGGTCGTCACCGGGCCTGCCATGCTGCCGAGCCTGCCATGCTGCCGAGCCTCCTGTGGTGCGGTCGCGCGTCCTCGTCCACCGTGCCTGATGGTGGGGCCATGGTGTCGTGACGCGACGTCATCATCATCACATGTAAGTAGCAAGGCCTTTGCCGTCTGTTGCAGCATATGTGCGCCATGGGGATGTGCGCCATGGGGATGTGCGCCATGGGGATTTGAACACAATGCACTAGCACCGTCACCCGCTGCGTGTCCGCATTCGCTGCACATCTCGAACATCTCACATGTCTCACATGTCTCATACATTCCACTGCACATGGCGCCTTATGTCTTCAAAGCGCAGTTCAACCTACTGGCTGTGCTTTTAGTGAAGGGTGCCTACAGCGCTGCCCTGCAGGGGGGTGCCGAGCGATGGGAGCTTTTGAGTGACCCGCAGTGGCATGCCATGGCGGTCCATTTTTCGATAATGGGCTTTTGTCCTCCATGCACCCCTCACATGCTGCCATGCTGCCACGATCACGTGCGGCCATGCTGCGATGCGTCTATGCTCCGATTGTGTTTGCGAGCACGCCAGACCTGAATCCTTTGCACCATCTATTCATTCTGTCCCAATGTTTAACCCTGTGCAGGTACAGCTGCCGTTTGCAGCGCCAAGAAAGCATGAACTGCCACGCTTCACGTGTGTTGATCTCTGCAGTGTGGGTAGCAGTACCCACGCGTGATGAGACGGCTCGGGAGGCGCTTCACAATGACTTGCAGTGGCGAGTAGGCCTGGACCAGCGGACCACTGTACTGCATGTGTTGACCTCTGCAGTGTGGGTGGCTGTACCCACACATGAGACGGCTTGTGAGGAGCCTCACATTACATTGCTGGGTGACTAAGCCCGGACCATCATACTCCATGTGTGGGTGGTTGCACCCAGTCCCCTGCTGTCGCGCCATTACATGTAAGTAGCATGTTACGATGAGCGCAGTCACTGTCACATCACCCCAGTCACATCGCCACCCCTTGGGTATGGCTCCCTGAATTGCCGCGGGTGGGGCGTCTGCCGGTCGCTGACGTGGCAGTTTGCCGCCCCACGCGCTTATGAGGGCAGCCACACCAATGCCTGCCAGCCTGGCTGCTTCTGGAGTGCGGGTCGCTGCTCTGTTGCCCGCACCACCACCATGCGCCAGGCACAGCCTTCATTACATCCTTTTCAGTCACTTCCGAAGAGTCACTTGGCTGCTTCTGGAATGCAGGTTGCTGCTTGGTTGCCTGCACCACCACCATGCGCCAGGCACAGCCCTCACCAAAAGCTTCGCATTCTACTGGCCCAAGTTCCCCTTCCTCGTGTTTCTCCTTCCCAGCCACTTGTTCCTCAGTGCTGTCAAGTCAAATTGGTTGACCGACCTTTCTCTTTTGTTGTTTTCCATTGCCCTTTCCTTACCTGTGCCTCCTCCCTGCTCACAGGCATCCAGAAACTTGACATGCACAAGTGGAGATTTGTTGTAGAATCTATGATGTTTATGTAGTGTGAGGGAATGCATTCAAATGATTAAAGTGCAGCCCTGGAAGCTTTGTTCTAGATTCTCTAAGTTCTCATGGAAATGGTTTCTAGAAGCATAATTATTTGTACGCGATTCACAGTAGTGTACTGTGGCAGTCAACAAACTTCAACAGGGACATTTCTTCGGAGCTTTCGTGTTTGCTGAATCCGCTCGTCAACCGTTTTCAACCAGCTGCCATCCACTCCAAGCCGCTGTGAGAATTTGGTAACGACGCGTGTTACTGTGCTTCGCATCACGCCGCTCTGACCATTGACTCCGAGCTCCAGCGAAAGTTGGCGAGGACAATTTGAATAGTTCTCCCCCACCAGCACAGCACCCACCTGCAATCACCCACCTCCCCCAGCGCCGTCAGGCGGGCCGATTCATGCGTGACGAAAGCAGAATAGCTGGCGAAAGCTGCCGAGCGCAGCTGGCGAAACTGCCGCGGTCCGAGTCAGAGCAGGCATCAGCCGTCGTCATGCCATGCCATGCCATGTTCCATGTTCCATCCACTCGCCTCACCTCCTCAGCAGCGGCATGTGCGTTTGCGCGTCGACGCGTCACCCTAACTGGTCCGCTTTGCCCCCCCCACAAGCTTGCCCCACCCCCCACCGTCCCCTGCAGCAGCGTGTATCTCCTAAAAGTCGGTGGGCTCGTTGGATCTCTGCTGTCCGTTTCTAGAATTCCTGAATTTTGCAAACACGCCCTCACAATCGGTTCCCCGACGTAAAGCATGCTCACTGACCTCTCATCTGCTGCAATCTTTGCAAGACTTGACATTCATGCTCCATGATTACTCTCCCAACCGACACTTCACCATTCCATAGCAGACTAGATTTTATACCTATCCACAGCAGCGCGCCGAGCATGGCGCTAAAAGACAAAGTTGTGTTGAAGATGGGCGACACGATCGTCGACGTGCTGATGGGCCCCGTTTACGTCGAGAGCGTCGTGCGCCATTACCCGAACCACGCGGTCTTTTCGCCCGCCGACGCCAGCAGCGCCTCGCTTTTCGCGAAGCGCGAGGGGCCGCTGCCGCCCGGGCGGGTGCTTAAGCCGGGGCGCTGTTACCACCTCGTGCGGAAGGCGCAAGGGAAGGGCGGGGTTACGGGCGGAGCGGAGTGCGCGCACGCGGATGAAGGCGGGACGGCGGGGCGAAAGCCTCCGCGGGATTTGCGCAAGACTCCTTCCGCCAACGGCAGGAACGAGGTGAGGGTCGAGCGGGTTCCGCAGGTGCTGCTTTGCACTAAACAAACCGTGCGGGCTGCTTCTCGTTCAAAACCGGAGTCTCACAGGTTTCGAAGTTAGGAAGGTTGGTCGAGGAAAGAGCAGCAACTGGCTCGCGAACTAGGGACTGGTGGAAGAAAAAGGAAGCCGAGGGTCGTTGAGTGATGTAGTGGTCGCAAGGGTTACCAGATCCCGACTGCAACTCTTGAACCCCTTCGCGTAGAATTTCGGTTCAGCGGAAAAAAATTGGGCGAAGTCATCACGGCTGTCGTCGTCGCCAGTACAGTAATTCTGGGTTGCGAAATTCGTTCCCACCTTTCGCGAAGTTGGCACTTTCCAACCAGGTTATTCCCAACCAAAGTTAGGAAGGTTGAGGCAGTTTTGGGCTGTTTGGGACTCCAACGCAAATTTGCGCAAGCCTCAAATTGCGCTTCGAACGAAACCTGTGAAAGCCATCAACTCAAGATTCTCGACGAAGCATCGAGCAGAGAGCACGCCACGTTGACGCTAAGCGCGCCGCTATCCTCGTCCAATCGTCGCGCTACCATAAGCACGTCACACTCCCACCCGCCCTCTCCGTCGCCCCGTCCCCCTACAGCGTAACTTATCTCCGCCCTCCGCGCATCCTCATTCCGCCGTTCCGCCATTGGTGCACGTGCCCGCGCGGTCCCCGCCCCGCGTCACTATTCTCGTGAAGCCCCGCCATCGCGTCAATCACAGCACCAGCGCGCTCCCCGACTTTTCCCCCGACGCCTCTCCGCCACACGCGCGCATCTCCGCCGCCGCCGCTCCAGGGCCGTTCGCCACAGGCGCGCACACCCCTGCTCACGCGGATGGCGGAGCGAGCAGGCGGCGCGCGGGAGAGACGGGCGGGATGGCGCCGAACGGGAAGACGGGGGAGAGCCACGCGGGGGACGGACAGGGCGTGGGGCTGGCGGCTTCCCCCGGGCGGCTGATGGTGCCCGCGCTGCGGCGGTCCAGGCGCGGCATGCACCGCCCGTGCAAATCGTTGAGCGGAAGTCCGGAGGAGATAGGGGGACTCGCGGAAGAGGCGTGGGGGGGTGACGACGACGGGGGAAAGGCGCGGGACGGGCGATGGCGCAGCGCGCATGTGACTCCGCTGGGGAGCGCGCACGCGACGCCGCACGGCAGCCCGTATGGCAGCGCGCACGCGAGTCCCTTGCGCGGGTCGCTCCCCTCGTCATGCAGCAAGGCGGCCGCGCCGCTCTACGCCAGCGCGCTGAGGCCCAGGACCGCGGGCGGGGAGCGTAGCGGGGGGAAGGGCGCGGGGGCGGGGGCGAGGGCGGGGAGCAGCCCGCTGACGCGCAGCCACGGGCGCAGGCACTCGGGTGGGGAGGGCGTGGGGGGTGCGGCGGCGCTGGACGCGGTAGAGGCGCTCATTGGCGCGCAGAGGGTGCTGAGCATGGCGGAGGGGGGCAGGGGGAGGAGGGGGGGGGAGGAGGAGGAAGGGGGAGAGATGCGGGGCGAGGGGAAGGCGGAGGGGAAGGGCGGGCAGGGGTGGGCGGAAGCACTGGTGGAGAGGATGAGGCAGCTGAGTCCGCTGAGGGGGAGGAGCCCCTTGAGGGGGAGGAGTCCCATGAGGGGGAGGAGTCCGCAGAGCGGGAGGAGCCCCACGTCCCAGCGCGTGCATGCTGTAGCAGACAGCAGCCCTGGGCGCAGGAGCGGTGGCAGCGGTGACAATATGGGTGGCATGAGTGGCGGTGGCAGTATGGGAGGCATGGGTGTGGGGGCGGAGGGGCAGCGCAGCCCTGACCTGGCACGGCCGCCCTGTGCTGTGCCCAGGAGAAGCAGCTTCAGCCCTCCACGCATGGCGCCTGGCAGCAGTTTCAGCCCGCCGCACATGGACTTTGACCAAGGAGAGCATGCCTGGCAGCACCCTGAACCCAGCCCCCCCATGCTGCACCCCCCCACGCCTGTGCTGTTTCTCACCAGGCCCGCCCACTCTTCTTCCCCTCCTTCCCAGCGCTGCGCCGCGTCCACCACCCCCTCGCAGCACTCTCCCCCCCACGCTGCCGCCCCCTCATACCGCTCTCCTCCTCACGATGACACACTCGGGCGTCACCAGGGGGCCTCCATGAGCCCTCGCCCTGTGAGCCCTTGCCCTGTGAGCGATGTGGAAGGAAGGGGAGAGATGGACACAGAGATGTGGTGTGATGGGGTTGGGAATGAGTGGACGAGGCAGGGGCAGCAGCAGGGGGGGCGCGGGGAGGAGGCGCGCAGTGAGTTGAAGCGCAAGGCACGTGACAAGGGAAGTGAGGGTGACAGGGCCAAGCAGGGGAGCAGGGGCCGTGAAGACAGTGGCAGTGAGGGCAGAGGGCGAGAGCGCAGCCCGCTGAGGCGCCTACTGCACGCCATCTCCCTGGACAGCAAGGGCAGTGACGGCGACAATCCCAAGGAGGAGAGCAGTGGCCATGGGCAGGAGGGCAGAGGCCAGGACCGCAGCCCGCTGAGGCGCCTGCTGCACGCCATTTCCCTGGACGCCCCCTCCCGCCCTGGCAGGCCCAGGCGAGCCGTGGATGACAGCATGGTGGGCAGCAGCAGCAAGGGCAAGGCAGCACACGGAACACAGGGTGTAGCAGCTGCAACAACGGCAGGGGCAGCGGGCACAGCAGCATCAGCAGAAGAGGACATGGAGTGGCAGGCGGCGGTGCAGGCGTTCAGGCGGAGAGTAGAGGTGCTGAACGGGGAGTGCCTGTTCAACTGGTCCACGGTGACAGCCGGCAAGGAGGAGAGGCGCGCCGTGATGTGGAAGCCCGACCTGCCCGACGTGCAGGAGGCGAGTGATGCCGGGTCGTTTGCGGCGCCCATCACACGGCACAAGCGGACACTGTCCGCTCAGATCACCAGCTGGCTGAGCTAGGTTCCCTTTGGAGAGCCGTTGGAAATGTAGCATTGCAAGACAGGTGCAGGGGCACGCTGTCGGATCACTTCAGCAGCTGCCTGAGCTAGGAGCAAATGAATGCAGATTTATGTTAGGAGCCAGAAGTGCATGATATGGGTGCTGTAGGTTCTGTAGGCATACCTTGTCTTTTGCCATTTGCGTTGAGTTTTGATGCAACTACGTAGAACACTCCACGCACTGTCTGCTTGAACTAGAAGTTGGCTTATCTTGAAAAGGACAGATGGTTGAACATACAGAACCGTGCCTGCATAATATTCGAGCAAGTTACGAAGGGTACAAGTTAAGTCCCTACGCTGTAATACTATTCAAGTCCACAAGTTCTAGTGCACTCTAGACCAATTTACCATTGCATTCAGCTATTCTTAAAAAGCAGGGTTCAATGGGTACTGTTTGCCCTGGCTGGGACTTCCTACCTACATCTAGAGGAGCAAGTGCATCAGCTGCAGCCCCACGCCTTGCTAACAGCCAAACCAAAATGGCGCCGCCCTGTGTGCACTTGAGCCAAAATGATTCAACAACTCGCCATCAGGTAAAGGCGCACAGCAGCATGGTTGACGTGCAGGCAGGACCAGGCACACAGCTCACAGCTCACAGCACACAGCACACAGCTCACGAGGCAGCTGCCTGTATCCTGCCTGCCTGTGCTGCCCCCGTTGCAACAGCACCTGCTGCTTCCCCGCCCTGCTGCTGCACGGCTGCCCTCACCTTCGCCTGCAGCACCATCGTTACCTCCTCCAGTAGCTGTCGCTTGGCGCGTGCCACCTGCTCATGGAGGGGTGGGGTGGGATGGGGAGGGGTGTGATGTGTGGTGTGGTGTGGTGCGGTGCAGTGGGGTGTGGTTGGCCTGCAGCACCATCGTCACCTCCTCCAGCAGCTGTGCTTGGCGCGCGCCACCTGCTCATGGAGGGGTGAGGTGGGATGGGGAGGGGTGTAATGTGTGGTCAGGTGCAGTGCAGTGTGGTTGGCCTGCAGCACCATCGTCACCTCCTCCAGCAACTGACTCGCAGCGAGCGCCACCTGCGCAAAGAGAGGGGTGGGGTGAGCGACGAGAAGCGTGGGGAGTGGAATTGAACGACAGTTGAAGTGAAGGGGTGAGAGAGGGAGGTGGGGACTGGATTGGAGAGGGGAAAATGCACCACCCACCATACTGACACAAAGGAGGTGCAGAGGGGGCAGGGAGGGAGGGGGGCCGCACCTCGCTGAACCTGTCGTGGTTGGCTTTAAGCAGCTCCGCTTTGTGCATACAGAACAGTTGGTTGGGGTGTGCAAGGCACGGAGCATGGGCGAGGGTGGGAGGGCGTGCAGCATGCATGGGGGGCAAGGAGGGAGGGGGGGCCGCACCTCGCTGAACTTGCCATGGTTGGCTCGCAGCAGCTCTGCCTTGCGCATGCAGTACAGTCGGGGGGGGGTGTGCAAGCAAGGGATGCAGCATGGGGTGGCGAAGGTGCGAGGGAAGGAAGGGCCGCACCTCGCTGACCTTGTCGTGGTTGGCTCGCAGCAGCTCCGCCTTGCGCATGTATGGGGGAAGGCAGGAGCATGAATGGGGAAGGGCAAGGGGAAGCATAGAAGGGAGCATGCAGAGGAGGGAGGACGAGCACACACACCTCGCTGAACTTGTCATGGTTGGCTCGCAGCAGCTCCGCCTTGCGCATGCAGTACCCCATCGCCTCCTCCACTGACTTCTGCTGGCGCCCCGCCCGGCATGCATGCACCACATGCACCACATGCACCACATGCACCCCATGCACCCCATGCACCCCATGCACCCCATGCACCGCATGCACCCCATGCACATAACACACATGGGACACCGAGGAAGTGCAGGGTAGCACACCATGACACACATGACGACACGGGACCCCATGCACCCCACGCACAGTGTTCAGCAAGTCCAAAGGGAGCACAGGGGGGAATGCGGGATAGTGTTATAACGAGCGGAGCAGACATGCAGGGCGGAGGCCCAACAGGACCAAGCATGGGCTATTCAGCAGGGCTTAACATCACCTCGTTGCAATCACCTTGATTTGGTCAATAATCAGCTCAACATAGTCACCTCGATACATTCACCTTAAAATGCTCACCTCAATACAATCACCTCGATATAGTTACCTCCCTATAATCAGCTTGATGCAATCACCTCGAGACAGGTCACCTCGCTACAGTCACCTCGCTATACTCAACTCGATAGAGTCACCTCTCTATAATCACCTAGGTATAGTCACCTCGATATAGTAGCCCGCACCAACGTCAATGAGCACGTGGGAGGGCTCGGCCACGGTGCCAGCGATGTACATGGAGCCGGTTAAGGGCACCAGCATGCTCTGACCTGCCATGGTGGGGTGAGGAATGCGAGAGAGGGGAGGGGGAAATTGAGTCCACGGGGCGCCGACATCAATGAGCACGTTGGAGGGCTCTGCGACGGTGCCAGCGAGCCATGTACATGGCTCCGGTCAAGTGGACCAGCATGCTCGCACCTGGTGGGGTGGGGCGGGGTGAGGAATGCGAGAGAGGGGAGGGGGATATTGCGAGCGATGTACATGGAGCCGGTCAGGGGCACCAGCATGCTCTGACCTGCCATGGTGGGGCGAGGAGAGAGGGGGTGTGTAGATTCATAGGGCATGGAGTTCACTCCTCCCCCAACCCCACTATGTAGCCTCTCCCCCATCCTACCTCTCCCCCATCCTACCTCTCCCCCATCCTACCTCTCCCCCATCCTACCTCTCCCCCATCCTACCTCTCCCCCATCCTACCTCTCCCCCATCCTACCTCTCCCCCATCCTACCTCTCCCCCATCCTACCTCTCCCCCATCCTACCTCTCCCCCATCCTACCTCTCCCCCATCCTACCTCTCCCCCATCCTACCTCTCCCCCATCCTACCTCTCCCCCATCCTACCTCTCCCCCATCCTACCTCTCCCCCATCCTACCTCTCCCCCATCCTACCTCTCCCCCATCCTACCTCTCCCCCATCCTACCTCTCCCCCATCCTACCTCTCCCCCATCCTACCTCTCCCCCATCCTACCTCTCCCCCATCCTACCTCTCCCCCATCCTACCTCTCCCCCATCCTACCTCTCCCCCATCCTACCTCTCCCCCATCCTACCTCTCCCCCATCCTACCTCTCCCCCATCCTACCTCTCCCCCATCCTACCTCTCCCCCATCCTACCTCTCCCCCATCCTACCTCTCCCCCATCCTACCTCTCCCCCATCCTACCTCTCCCCCCCATCCTACCTCTCCCCCATCCTACCTCTCCCCCATCCTACCTCTCCCCCATCCTACCTCTCCCCCATCCTACCTCTCCCCCATCCTACCTCTCCCCCATCCTACCTCTCCCCCATCCTACCTCCCCCCATCCTACCTCTCCCTCACCCCCCACTTCTCTCCCCTCCTACCGTCAGTGCCCCATCCCATCTACCCACTACCTCCTCCCCCCTCCCCCCCACCACACTCTTCCCCCCACCTCCCATTCCCCCTTTCCGCACCTTCCTGCTGTTTTGCCATGGCTTCCACTGCAACGCGCGAGGCATCAATGCGGGCAAGGGCGGTGCGCAGCGAGGCGAGGGAGTCGCCGAGCATCTTCACCTCGCCCTCCACCTGCTCGCGGATCTGCCGCACCTGCTCCACCGGCAGGCGCGGAATGTCCTTCACCGATATCTGTGAGCAGGGCGAGGAGTGGGGTGGGGTGGAACAGGGGCGGGGAACGCAGTGGGGCACGATGGCATGGCTTCACCTCGCCCTCCACCTGCTCTCGAATCTGCCGCACCTGCTCCACTGGCAGACGGGGGATGTCCTTTATCGATATCTGTTGGGCAGGGCAGGGCAGGGCACAACAGGGGCAAGGCGATGAGTGGGACATGGCATGGCATAACACATCACCTTGCCCTCCACCTGCTACCTGATCTGCCGCACCTGCTCCACTGGCAGGCGAGGAGTGTCTGTTACCGATATCTGCATGCGCCGTGGGAGGGAGTGGGGCGCAATGGGGGGAGGGGAGCGGGCAGTGGGGCGTGGCGTTGGCAGGGCATCACTGCTCTGCTCCACCAGCACGCGCGATGTCGTTCATCGGTACATGCGGTGGGAATGGGGTGCAGTGGGGAAGGGAATGGGGCGCAATGGGGGGAAGGGGGCGGGCAGTAGGGCATGGGACAACAGGGCATCAATGCTCTGCTCCACCGGCACGCGCGGGATGTCATTCAGCGGTACATGCGGTGGGGATGGGGTGCAACGGCAGGGCGGAGGGGCGTATCGGATCGATGGCGTGCGACGGCGATGCGCGCTCGGCGGAAATTGCGGGATGGCCTTCAGCGCCACGTGCGCGCACGGCGAGGCGTCGTGGGCCGACGCGGGGGGACGTCGGGCGCGGGATGCGATGGGACGGAACGGCAGGGTATGCGATCTTACGGGATAGAGCGCAAGGGATTGGCGCGAGTGGGGAAGAGCAGCAAGCACGGCTCACCTGCGTGGGGCCGAGCTGTTGCTGCTCCGCCATGGCCACCAAAGCTGCCGCCCTCCCAGCCGCTGTCGCGATCCGCCCCGCGCCCTCTGCCGCTCCTCGCGCGTCTCGCAGGAACCACGTGGCAGTCGCACCGCGAAAGAGGCAAGATCGGAGGGCCGACGGGCAAGGTGCGAGAATCGAGGGTGGAGGGTGAAGCGCGGGAGAGACGTTGGCTACTAACCGCTGGTTGCGGCGACTACACAGAGTTCGCTGGATGGCGCGGCGCGTTGAAACGAGTGAATCTGATCGCTCGATTCGAAGAAGCGACGCGGCGGGCACGGCAATGAAAGGGCACAGATGGATTTTGGCGAGAAGCTCACTGTCGGGATTTTTGGGTTGCGTAGCAACCTTATACATTTGGTTTCACTTTTTGGGGAACTGACCATGAACAGTGATTTTTCCCTGCCCGTTTGGGAAAAAAATACTGTTCAACTTTTTAGTTGCCCCAAAAATGTGAAACCAAATGTAACCAATAATTCCATAGTCGTCGATAAGTACGGCGAATGGAACAATTGGTTGGACACGAACGTGTACAAAAACAGACCCAAACGACAGCACACAAACTTGTACAAAAACGAGAAACACCAGTTGTGAGTGCTTCGAAGCTAATGCTAGAATGCATCGTGAATGCAACTGCGATTGATCTGGTATGGAAGAGGCAACCAAAGCTGCCCCACCAACGATCACAACCGCAATTGTATACACGAGGCACTTAGCACTCACCCCGAAACAGAGCCACACAACTACATAGCCTACATGTACGCACACACATACGCAGATAGAAAAACACGCAGAAACATACAGCTAATACTAAGCATGCAAGCATAGCCGATGAAGTTCACCAATTAATAAACCATCGCTACTTTGCCCCCCATTCCCCTCCCTCCCCCCCTCCCTGATCTCCCTTAACCCTCCCTACACCCCTCCGTCCCTCCTTCCTTCATCTCCCTCCCACTCCCTCCCTCATCTCCCTTCTCAGCTCACGCGCCCTGCACAAAGCGAAAACAGAGAAGTTCACACACACACGGCCTGTACACAGCAAAAAACAGAGAAGCAAACACACACGGCCTGCACACAGAAAAAACAGAGAAGCAAACACACACACGGCCTGCACACAGCAAAAACAGAGAAGCAAACACACACACGGCCTGCACACAGCAAAACAGAGAAGCAAACACACACACGGCCTGCACACAGCAAAACAGAGAAGCAAACACACACACGGCCCGCACACAGCAAAAACAGAGAAGCAAACACCTTAGAAGCCGACACACTAAACACTAGTGCAGAAAGCGACACTCGTTTGCATAAGTAGTCCCAGCTGCCCAAGCACCAGCAGAATAGATGCTAGTGCATATGCCCCAGCGTGCTCATAAAGCTCTCTCGTGCGTTCTCTCACGCACTCTCTCACGCACTCTCACGCACTCTCTCACGCGCTCTCTCACACTCTCTCACGCGCTCTCTCACCTGCTCTTTCAGGGCTCTCTCACGTGCTCTCACACGCTCTCACGCGCTCCCTCACGCGCTCTCTCACACTTTCTCTCACGCGCTCTCTCACGCCCTCTCTCACGTGCGCTCTCACGGACGCCTTCACGCGTCTCTCACGCGCTCTCTCACGCGCTCTCTCCTCGCTCTCTCACGCGCTCTCTCACGCGCACTCTCACGCGCTCTCTCATGTGCTCTCTCACGTGCGCTCTCGCGCGCGCTTTTACGCGCTCTCTCACGCGCTCTCTCACGCGCTCTCTCACGCGCTCTCTCACGCGCTACCTCACGTGCTCTCTCACGCGCTCTCTCACGCGCACTCTCATGCACTCTCTCACGCGTCTCACTCGCTCTCTCACGCGCTCTCTCTCACGCGCTCTCTCTCACGCGCTCTCTCTCATGGGCTCTCTCTCATGCGCTCTCTCTCACGCGCTCTCTCTCACGCGCTCTCTCTCACGCGCTCTCTCTCACGCGCTCTCTCTCTCTCTCTCATGCGCTCTCTCACGCGCTCTCCCACGCGCTCTCCCACGTGCTCCCTCACGTGCTTTCTCTCACGCACTCTCACTTGCACTCTCACGTGCACTCTCACGTGCACTCACTCGCACTCTCATTCGCTCCCTCACGCGCACTCTCATCCGCACTCTCACGCGCTCTCTCACGCGCACTCTCACGAGCTCTCTCACGCGCACTCTCACGAGCTCTCTTACGCGCACGAGCACTCTCACGCGCACGCGCTCTCTCACGCGCACGCGCTCTCTCACGCGCACGCGCTCCCTTACGCGCATGAGCTCTCTCACGCGCTCTATCACGCGCACTCTCAGGAGCACTCTCACGCGCACGCGCTCTCTCACGCGCTCCCTCACGTGCTCTCTCACGCGCTCCCTCACGTGCTCTCTCACGCGCTCTCTCTCACGCGCTCTCTCTCACGCGCTCTCTCTCATGCGCTCTCTGTCATGCGCTCTCTCTCACGCGCTCTCTCACGCGCTCTCTCTCACGCGCTCTCTCTCACGCGCTCTCTCTCATGCGCTCTCTCACGCGCTCTCCCACGCGCTCTCCCACGTGCTCCCTCACGTGCTCTCTCTCACGCACTCTCACTTGCACTCTCACGTGCACTCTCACGTGCACTCTCACTCGCACTCTCATTCGCTCCCTTACGCGCACTCTCATCTGCACTCTCACGCGCTCTCTCACGCGCACTCTCACGAGCTCTCTTACGCGCACGAGCACTCTCACGCGCACGCGCTCTCTCACACGCACGCGCTCCCTTACGCGCATGAGCTCTCTCACGCGCTCTATCACGCGCACTCTCAGGAGCACTCTCACTCGCACGCGCTCTCTCACGCGCTCCCTCACGTGCTCTCTCGTGCGCTCTCTCGTGCGCTCTCTCGTGCGCACTCTCACGCGCGCTTTCCTGCGTGTTCGCTCCCGTGTACATGCTCTCCCTCGCGCTCCGTCTCTCCCCTTCTTCAAATGAAATTGCAATGCGAGAGGAGACCAATCTACACAAAAACTTTACGAGGAGAGCAAAGGAGGGACACGCGACGGCGGGGAGGAGGGAAAGGCGACGGCGGGGAGGAGGGATACGCGACGGCGGGGAGGAGGGAGAGGCGACGGCGGGGAGGAGGGAGATGCGACGGCGAGGAGGAGGGAGAGGCGACGGCGAGGAGGAGGGAGAGACGACGGCGGGTAGGAAGGAGAGGCGACGGCGGGTGGGAGGCGACGGCGGGTGGAAGGGAGAGAGGACGGCGCGGTGGGAAAGAAAGGATGGCGGGGTGGAGGTAGAGGCTATCACGAGGTGGTTGGTTGGGAGAAGCAACAGGTGGGTGGGTTTGTCACGTGAAAACACACGCACAATCACGTGACACTGAGTGGGCTGAAAACAACTCACTATGAACCACAAAATAGTGCAATGTTACAATACAAAGTAAAGAGAACATCATTGTTCACTATATAAAACAAAAAACGATCAATGTGTCTAGATATTAACGTATTAGAAACATCAATTGTTAAGAATAATAAACATCCACGTTGAAAAGAATAGATTGAACCATCAAAAAACGCTTGCAATATTCCTTGAACGGTAGGCCTAAATTTGACGCTTTTAAAAAACTGCAAAAAAAAAATTGTCAACTAAGAATGTAACATCTACGCAACCCTTCCGACGTTAACGTCGAGTCTTGTTGTGTGCGTTCTTGATTTGCAGTGCAGTTTAAATTGAAGTGGCAGAACGGGTAGTTTTATGTTTGTAGGCGCTACAGAGTTGGAGATACTACACCCGCTCTGGCTAGTAACGCGTACGTCATCAGCTCCAATCTCGGCCCGTTTTATTCACGAGCCTGAGCCACGTCACGGTTCTGCCTTGGTTTGGGAATCCGAAGCTGCGAACCTGGTTTCTCCAGTACAGTGTTTTTTCCTCCAGGCTCCAGTTGTTCGAAAGCCGTTGGGCCTTCGTGCTCGAGACGCGTTCACGGAGCCTTGTGCGTCCCGCCCGCCGTGCCATCCTTCGCCGCGCTGCCTTGTCCGAAACGAAACGCGGCGCACGGCACGCTCTCGTCTCGCGTTACTAATTGATCCACTAAGGAACGTCGTTACTTTTAGTCTCCGGCTCTTGCCGTCCTCGTCGCTGCCGACCGTTCACTCGCGCGCCGCCACCAGCACCATGTGGCGGGTGGCGTGTCGCGAGGCGCGCAAGCAAGTCGCGTCGCTGACCCATGGGCCCGCGTGTCACGGCGCGCACGGCGCGCCCGCACCGGGCGGTCCTTATCCGCTGCATTCCCTCGCGCACGTCGCCCCGCCCACCGCCGTCACGCCGCATCACGCGCGCCTCATCCCGTCGCTCGTCGTCGCTCACGGCCCCGCATCCCTCGCCACCAACGCGACGCGCATCGGCGCATGGCGACACGCGTCGCCCCTCGCGCTCACGCTCACCTCCCCCTCGCTCTCCGCTCTCCGTTCCGCCCTCACGCACTCCTCCGCCAGCCTCTCTTCCGCCACCCTCTCCGCCGCCGCCGCTCTGCCCGCCGCAGCCCGCGCAAGCCTCGCCGTCCCCGCGGCAGGCGCGGCGGCAGGGCGGGCGGCAGGCGTGAGCGTGTGGAAGCACTGCGGGCGGTGCTACTACGAGCTCAGCAAGACGCGGCTCAGGTGGGTGGGGCGCGGCTCAGGTTGGCGCTACGCGGCTCAGGTGGGTGCGGCTCAGGTGGGCGCTACGCGGCTCAGGTGGGCGCTACGCGGCTCAGGTGGGTGCGGCTCAGGTGGGCGCTACGCGGCTCAGGTGGGTGGGCGCGCGCGCATAGGCGGGGAGCTGGCATGTCCCGTTGCTCTGAATGTGAAGATGGCGCCTTTTCCGTTGCTCTCTCGTGTGCCTCACCTCGTCTCGCGCGTAGCGTCCACCCACCACAAACAGCAGCTTCCGCTGCGCACAGCATTCCCTCTATTCCCTCCCCTCCTCCTGCCACAAACACCCGTGCCTCCCGCTCACATGCGCCCCCAACCCCCTGCACCATATCTCCCCTCTGCGCGCCTCACACCCCCCAGCCTGCTGGTGGTGGCGACGGCAGCAGCGGGGTTTGTGATGGGCAGTGGCGACAACGTTGACTGGGCGGGACTTGGATGGACCTCGCTTGGAACCTTCCTCGCAGCTGCCTCCGCCAATACGTGGAACCAGGTGTGGCTGCCCAGTGCCAACGCTGTCTGCTGGCCGTACTGCTTGCGGCACCCCTCACCTCGCACCCTCTCGTCTCTCGTTGCCCGTATGCATTGTGCATGGCTCGCCCTCTCCTTGCTGCTGCATCGCTGCACCGCGCTACTCTCGCCTCGTGCCTCTCTCCCCCCATTTCCCGGCAGGCCACAGCCGGCAGGGCGGACGATCAGCCCTTCGTTGCCCCCTTGTGCCCCTGTGTTACCCGATGCGCCCCCCCTGTGCGCCCCCCCTGCGCGCCCCCCCGGTTTCCCTCCCAGGTGTACGAGGTGGCGAATGACGCCCTCATGAAGCGCACGCGGGGAAGGCCGTTACCAGCAGGGCGGATGACCCGGCAGCACGCCATCGCATGGGGACTGCTCACTGGGGCCAGCGGCCTCGCCATCCTCGCAACCCAGGTGTGGTGTGCGGTGCAGTCAGGTGCTGTGTGCGGTGCAGTCAGGTGCTGTGTGCGGTGCAGTCAGGTGTTGTGTGCATGCAGTCAGGTAATGCAATGCAATAGCATCAACAGGTCGCCACATTGCTTCATCTCTCCATCAACTCACCTTCAGCGGCCCCTCGTCCCCGCGCCCCTCTCTCCCGTCCCTGCTCGTGTGCATCCGTGCATGCATGTGTACAGGCTAACAGCATGAAGGTTCAAATGGGAAGTGTATTGAGTCGATAAAAAACGCATTTTGTGTGTATGTGCGTGCACTGGTGCGTGCGCATGCGTGGGTGTGTGCATGCACAGGCCAACAGCATGACAGTGGGTCTGGAGGCAGTCAACATAGCACTGTATGGGGGGGTGTACACGCCACTCAAGCAACTGCACCCCGTCCCCTGCCCACCTCTCTCTCCCCCTTCCCCCCGTGCATGTGTGCATGCTTGCGTGCACAGACCAACAGCATGACGGCAGGCCTGGGAGCGGCCAACATACTTCTGTACGCGGGCACGCCACTCAAGCAGCTGCACATCGCCTTTCTGTTCTCTCTCCCGTCCCCTCCCTGCTCGTGTGCACGCATATGCAGACCAACAGCATGACGGCAGGCCTAGGAGCCGCCAACATACTGCTGTATGCAGGCGTGTACACGCCCCTCAAGCAGCTGCACATCGCCAACACGTGGGTGGGCGCTGTCGTCGGCGCCATCCCGCCTCTCATGGGGTGAGTGAGACACTTGGAGGCATGGCGATGATCGTGATGCCGTTAATGGTGGTGCTGTTGCTGGTGATAATCATGACAGTGATGTGATGGGGATGGCGGTTAGGAGGGTGATGGCAAAGTGAAGCAGGGTGGGGAAAAGGCAGGCTAGCACATGGGGGTTGGTCTAGGGTTGGGAATAGGCAGGCAGGCAGGCAGGCAGGCAGGCAGGCAGGCAGGCAGGCAGGTGACCTGCTCACCTCACATCTCTCATCCCTCTCTCATCTATTCTCACCCTTCCCTGCATGGCATCACCCCCCACCCCCCTCCTCCCTTCCCGCCTCGTTCCCCCTGTCCATCCCCACCTTTGTGCGCAGGTGGGCGGCGGCGAGTGGGGGGCTGGACTGGGGGGCGGGGGTGCTGGCAGGGGCGCTGTACCTGTGGCAGATGCCGCACTTCCTTGCTCTCGCCTGGCTCTGCCGCAAGGACTATGCTGCCGGGGGGTGAGTGAAAGACGAGGGGGGGGGGTCGGGGGTATGTGTGGGGGTGAGGGGTGACGAGTTGACTCCACTCCATTGCAGAAGGGGGTGTGAGAGAGAGAGGAGAGGGTGAGGGTTGACCATGCTGCAGGGGGGTATGTGTGTGGGGGGGGCACTCAGCATTTGCGAGGCTGCTGCACAGCTGATTATTGCCCTGCTTTATGTCCTCTCCTCCGCTCTGTTCACTTTTGCTCGTCTTCTCATGATGCCTCGTGCCGTTCACTGTATCCCCTCGCCTCACCCCTACCCCTGTACTTCCCCCCTGCCTCCCCACTCCCCACCTTCGGCTCCCCCCCACACTGCTACCGCATGCTGTCTCTGGCGGACCCCACAGGGCGGCGCACAGCAGGATCAGCTCTGCGAGATGGAGTCTGAGTCAACTCAATAGTCACTTCTTCTTTTCCCCTCCCTTACACCCTCTCCCCCTTCCCCCCCCCCACAGCTACCGCATGCTGTCTCTGGCGGACCCCACGGGGCGGCGCACAGCAGCAGCAGCGCTGCGCAACTGCTGCTACATGCTGCCGCTGGGACTCGCTGCTGTCTCCCGTGCGCCCTCCCCGCCCTCCCCGCCCTCCCTACTGTCTCTACCCCTCCACCCGTGGTCCCAATGCCTTGACCCTTTATCTTTTCCAATGGCTCCGCGCTTGCCTTCCCTCTCGTCTCATAACATCAGCCCATCCGTGTCTCTGCCCATGCCATCTCGGTCTTTGCACTCCCCACTCCCCCCACCTGTATGCACACTCCTTCTCTCACCTCCTTTCCCCAGCCATGCTCTCAATACCCCACGTGCTCAGCCCTCACCCTTCTCATCCCTCGCCCTTCTCATCCCTCACCCTTCTCATCCCTCGACCGTCTCACTCCAGACCTCCCTCCCTCCGCTCACCCCCACCTCGTTCCCCTCCTCTCCCAGTGGGGTGCACCACAGCACCGTTCCTATGGGAGAACGTGCTGCTAACGGGGGCGTTCACAGCAGCGGCAGCGCCCTTCTATCGCAGCCCCTCGTCAGCGTCAGCCAGGCAGCTGTTCCGCGCCAGCCTGCTCTTCCTGCCCGCCCTCATGGCCGCCATGCTGCTGCACCGCCTCCCCCACCACCCCCTCCCCGCCCATGCTCTCTCCCCCACCCCCGCGCCCGCACTCACCCATGCGCTTCTTCCCTCCCACGCTCCTGCAGTGATGGCAGGTGCAGGCGAGGGTGGGGTAGGGGGAGCAGCAGTGGGAGAGCATGGGGCGAGGGAGGAGGTGGGGCGGAAGGCATGGGGGGAGGCCGGGGCCAGGAGGGCATGGGAGGCAGCAGGGAGTGGCGAGAGGGGCGAGGGCAGGAGGAGGGCGAGTCTTCCTCCAGTGGCGTATTACTCGGCGGCTCCCTTTCCCTTCCTCCCCGTGCCCCACTATGCATGAACCTCGCCTTCTGCTCGTGGGGGGGAGGGGTGGTGATAGTCACGCCTGCATGCACGCGGCATGCAATGCGTACCTGAAGCATTGCTCCCCATGCACCTACAGCTTAACCTATGTCAGTGCCACCCTTGAAGTTGCTGCAGTGATGTGATGAACACATTGCAATGCAAGTTGCTTGACCGTCGTGATGTCCTTCGATCCACGATGTGGTGTAGAAAACTAGACCACCCTTGTACCGGTATCTTCAGGTTCAGGGCGTGTTCCTACTACTGCCCCTTACGGTATCAGACCAACCTCTTATCAGACTCGCGTAGCATCACACTGAAGTTTGCCTAAATACCAAACCCTTTGCCCATTGTATCAGGCAAGCGTCTTGTATACGATAGTAAGGTCCACCACAATCACCACCTCAAGGTGCTTACAGATACTTTGGTGCCAACCAAACCAAGTGACACTCACAACCTGGGCATCAAAAGTCAGGTTTTTTAACCAGAATTCCTAATGTTTTATGGTGTATTTTTGAAGTGACCCTGATCGTTCAACCTTTTATTTTTAACGACACTGAATTTTCAGTGTGTGTATGTGTGTGTGTTTTTTTTTTTAATTATTATTATTATTATTATATATTCCAACACTGTTTTTTTAGTGTTTTGCGATTTCGGACACTTAAAGCGAGCAGGCAAAATAGTGACCCTGAATTCGAGTTGGGTCCAACTAGAAGTTTGTTTTTTTTTTTCCGGTACAAGGCAAAGTCCCAACGACAAGAAAAGTGTCGCAACATGCACAAAATTGTCGCAAGCATGCATTGGCATTTCTGCTTCTCCAGCCCATCCAAATTTCCATCGAGCTTGTGAGTGATACCTTAGTGAGAAACTGCTAACTTCACGCCTAGCACCACACACGCAGCATACCCGGCGACGACGGGGAACGGAGACAACGAGGCAGCGAAAATGGAGAAGAGAACGAAGATAGCGAGTGCGACAGGAAGGGAGATAGCGGGGGCGACAGGGACAGGGAGAGGAAAGGAGATAGCGAGTGCGACGGGAATGGGAGAGGAGAAATTGAGGGCGACAGGAAGGGAGGAGATAGTGAAAGCGATCGGAAAGGGAGGAGCCACTAGCGCAGCGCACGCGCTGTTAGCGGAGCCACCAGCGCGTCGCACTTGCTGTCCACACACGTCTTATAGTACAGCTCACGCGCTGTCCTTGAACCAGCAATGTCATCGTACCTGAACCTATGTAAAGTTTCCTGACATCATGTAAGAAATTTAATTCGTTTATAAGAACCTCCAATAATTGAGACTATGAAAAGGCGAGTAGTGACGGGAAGGGGAGGGGGAATAGAGAGCTCGACGGGGAGGGGAGGGGAGATAGCTAGCGCGACAGGAGGGGGAGGGGAAATAGTGAGCGCGACGGGAAGGGGAGGCGAAATAGCGAGCACGACGGGATGGGGAGGGGAAATAGCGAGAGCGACGGAAAGGGGAGGGGAGATAGTGAAGGGGACGGGAAGGGGAGGGGAAATAGCGAGCGTGACGAGAAGGGCAGGGGAAATAGCGAGCACGACGGAAAGGGGAGGGGAAATAGCGAGAGCGTGACGCGGCGGGAAGGGGAAATAGCGAGCGCGACGGGAAGGGGAAGGGAGATAGCGAGCACGACGGGAAGGGGAGGGGAGATAGCGAGCGCGGCGGAGAGGGAGGGGAGATAGCGAGCGCGGCGGAGAGGGAGGGGAGATAGCAAGGGCGACGGGGAAGGAGAGGAGATAGCGAGCGCGACGGATAGAGGGGGGAGATAACGAGGGCAAAGGGCCAGCTGAGCGCGACAGCGAGGGCGACGAAAAGGGTGGAATGAGAACGTGGCGAAGGCTTGTTAGCGGAGGGCGGATGCACTTGTGAGAGTGGTGCCGGAGTATCCGTGTGAAGTAACTACGCAAGCTACCGTGATACTTGTGGATATCGGCTAATGTTGGAACGATCAGTCAGAGCGTAAAGTGAACCCAAGTCCAACTTGAAGTTCCGGTTGGACCCAACTAGATATGGGAGGCGTCGGCTTCAACCCAACCAGTTGGTGTCGCGTGATCAAATGTGGAAACTTTCAGAAGCACGAAACTTTGGCGCACTGATTTTCTGCTGTGCGATCTGAAAATCTGGCGGGAGCCAATCGGATTGGACAAGTAGTTTCGACCATCTTTTTGCAACAGTGCTTTGATTCCTCCCGATTTCAAGCTGGGCCTCCCTTCACTATTTTGCCTGCTCGCTTTAAGAGTCAGTGTTGTATCGCGTTCAACCCTGAAACTAGAAATTGCATTTCCGCCAAGCTTGGCAAGGCAGCGGGCGCTCTTCATATGCAAGCGCCGATGACCGATGATGCTCGCAACCCTCCCACGCCCTTGTTGGCTTGGTAATAGGCCCGGACAAGCGCAACCTCATGACCCGGCAGAAGAAAAATGCTCGGAATGCACGCTTCCACCCCCAAATCGCGGAAGGATCCCCACATGTGCCGGAAGTGCAGCGGACGCTCTTTATGCGCGAATCACGATGATCGATGATGCTCGCAACCCTCGCACGCCCTTGCTGGCTTGGTGATAGGACCAGACAAGTGCATCCGCGTGAACCGGCGGAAGAAAATCGCTCGGAACGAGCGCTTCCACCCCCAAAACACGGAAGGATCCGCACATGTGCAGAATGTTCAGCGGGCGCTCTTCATTCGCGAGTGCCGATGACCGATGATGCTCGCAACCATCGCACGCCCTTGCTGGCTTGGTAATAGGATAAGACAAGCGCATCCACGTGACCCGGCGGAAGAAAAACGCTCGGAACGAGCGCTTCCACCACCAAAACGCGGAAGGATCCGCACATGTGCAGAAAGTTCAGCGGGCGCTCTTCATTCGCGAGCACCGATGACCGAGGATCCTCGCAACCCTGCCACACCCTTGCTGGCTTGGTAATAGGACCAGACAAGCGCAGCCACGTGACCCGGCGGAAGAAAAATGCTCGGAACGAGCGCTTCAAGCCCCAAAACGCGGAAGGATCCGCACATGTGCAGGAAGTGCAGCGGGCGCTCTCCATTCGCGAGCGCCGATGACCGTCGATGCTCGCAACCCTCCCACGCCCTTGCTCGCTTGGTAATAGGCCCAGACAAGTGCAGCCACGTGACCCGGTGGAAGAAAAACGCTCGGAACGAGCGCTTCCAGCCCCAAAACGCGGAAGGATCCGCACATGTGCAGGAAGTGCAGAGGGCGCTCTTCATTCGCAAGCACCGATGACCGATGATACTCGCAACCCTCCCACGCACTTGCTGGCTTGGCAATAGGACCAGACAAGCGCAGCTACGTGACCCGACGGAAGAAAAGTGCTCGGAATGAACGCTTCCACCCCCAAATCGCAGAAGGATCCGCACATGTGCCGGAAGTGCAGCGGGCGCTCTTCATTCGCGAGTGCCGATGACCGATGATGCTCTCAACCCTTGCACGCCTTTAGGGTTTAGGGTTTAGGGTTTAGGGTTTTAGGGGTTTAGGGTTTGGGGTTTGGGGTTTTGGGGTTTTGGGGTTTAGGGTTTTGGGGTTTAGGGTTATTTAGGGTTTAGGGTTTAGGGTTTAGGGTTTAGGGTTTAGGGTTTAGGGTTTAGGGTTTAGGGGTTTAGGGGTTTAGGGTTTAGGGTTTAGGGTTTAGGGTTTAGGGTTTAGGGTTTAGGGTTTAGGGTTTAGGGTTTAGGGTTTAGGGTTTAGGGTTTAGGGTTTAGGGTTTAGGGTTTAGGGTTTAGGGTTTAGGGTTTAGGGTTTAGGGTTTAGGGTTTAGGGTTTAGGGTTTAGGGTTTAGGGTTTAGGGTTTAGGGTTAGGGTGTAGGGTTTAGGGTTTAGGGTTTAGGGTTTAGGGTTTAGGGTTTAGGGTTTAGGGTTTAGGTTTAGGGTTTAGGGTTTAGGGTTTAGGGTTTAGGTTTAGGGTTTAGGGTTTAGGGTTTAGGGTTTAGGGTTTAGGGTTTAGGGTTTAGGGTTTAGGGTTTAGGGTTTAGGGTTTAGGGTTTAGGGTTTAGGGTTTAGGGTTTAGGGTTTTAGGGTTTAGGGTTTTAGGGTTTAGGGTTTAGGGTTTAGGGTTTAGGGTTTAGGGTAGGTTTAGGGTTTAGGGTTTAGGGTTTAGGGTTTAGGGTTTAGGGTTAGGGTTTAGGGTTTAGGGTTTAGGGTTTAGGGTTTTAGGGTTTGAGGGTTTAGGGTTTAGGGTTTCGGGTTAGGGTTTAGGGTTTAGGGTTTAGGGTTTAGGGTTTAGGGTTTAGGGTTTAGGGTTTAGGGTTTAGGGTTTAGGGTTTAGGGTTTAGGGTTTAGGGTTTAGGGTTTAGGGTTTAGGGTTTAGGGTTTAGGGTTTAGGGTTTAGGGTTTAGGGTTTAGGGTTTAGGGTTTAGGGTTTAGGGTTTAGGGTTTAGGGTTTAGGGTTTAGGGTTTAGGGTTTAGGGTTTAGGGTTTAGGGTTTAGGGTTTAGGGTTTAGGGTTTAGGGTTTAGGGTTTAGGGTTTAGGGTTTAGGGTTTAGGGTTTAGGGTTTAGGGTTTAGGGTTTAGGGTTTAGGGTTTAGGGTTTAGGGTTTAGGGTTTAGGGTTTAGGGTTTAGGGTTTAGGGTTTAGGGTTTAGGGTTTAGGGTTTAGGGTTTAGGGTTTAGGGTTTAGGGTTTAGGGTTTAGGGTTTAGGGTTTAGGGTTTAGGGTTTAGGGTTTAGGGTTTAGGGTTTAGGGTTTAGGGTTTAGGGTTTAGGGTTTAGGGTTTAGGGTTTAGGGTTTAGGGTTTAGGGTTTAGGGTTTAGGGTTTAGGGTTTAGGGTTTAGGGTTTAGGGTTTAGGGTTTAGGGTTTAGGGTTTAGGGTTTAGGGTTTAGGGTTTAGGGTTTAGGGTTTAGGGTTTAGGGTTTAGGGTTTAGGGTTTAGGGTTTAGGGTTTAGGGTTTAGGGTTTAGGGTTTAGGGTTTAGGGTTTAGGGTTTAGGGTTTAGGGTTTAGGGTTTAGGGTTTAGGGTTTAGGGTTTAGGGT